CTTCCCCCACCCAGCGATTCTGCTCCAGTATATGGAGATCTGTGTCCGATACTGGCAAGTATTTGATGCCCGGCAAGAATACATCCCTCAGGTCCTGGAGAACTTTGTGCGGCTGGTTCACCACGACCACGTGCGCATCAAGACACGATCCTGGTATCTTTTCCAGAGATTTGTCAAATTCCTCAGAGCCCAGGTCGGCAACGTGGCAGAAACTGTCATTCAATCCATCAGTGACCTCCTGCCAATCAAGGCTGAGGTCTCAGAGAGTAACGGAGACGATGACATGTCTTCAGATGAGTCTGATCACTCTGCGGACGCCTTATTCACAAGCCAGCTTTACTTGTTTGAGGCCATTGGTTGTATCGCATCAACTGGAAGCACGCCAGCAGACAAACAGGCGTACTATGCCCGCCTTGTGTTGAATCCTTTGTTCAGTGACATGGAAACCCATCTGCCAAAGGCAAAGGCAAACGATGCCCAGGCCATTCTCCAAATACATCACATCATCTTGGCGCTTGGTCGCCTTGCCCATGGTTTCTCGGACTGGCAGCCCGGCAGCACCTCAGTCCAGAACCGACCTCCCCCAGACAAGCTTGTGTCTGATGAATTCTCGAGAGCCGCCGAAGCCATTCTGATTGCCCTCAGCGAGTTGAACAACTCCACCGACATTCGCACTGCTTGCCGAGCATCCTTCTCCAAGTTGCTAGGCGTTCTCGGATCCGCTGTGCTGCCGCAGCTCCCTCAGTGGATCGAAGGATTTCTGTCCCAAAGCTCCTCCAAGGACGAGATGGCCATTTTCCTACGACTGCTTGACCAGATTGTCTTTGGCTTCAAAACGGAGATTTACAATGTCCTGAACATGCTTCTTACTCCCTTGCTGCAGAGAATTTTTGCCGGTCTCTCCGAACCAGTCACCGGTACAGACGACGAGATTCAGCTTGGCGAGTTACGTAGGGAATACTTGTCCTTCCTGCTGGTCATCCTGAACAACGAACTCCAGTCCGTTTTCATCAGCGAGGCCAACCAAGGCTTCTTCGAGTCACTTATCAACTCTGTCATCACCCTCGGCCGAACCCTCGTAGCGGAGAACATCGGACCCAGCCGGCTGGCCTTCAGTGTTTTGGCACGCATGGTGGTTGTCTGGGGCGGTCCTGACTGCGCGAAGATCGCCGAGAACCCAGAGGCGCCCAGCGGTTCCCCGAACCCGACCATCCCGGGCTTCGACCGCTTCATGATTGACCGCTTCCACCCGCTGTGCTGGGAAGTCTTCCAGGACCCCAACTTTAGGCCGCACAACGATGCGCAGAGCAAGCAGGTCCTCAACGAGATCGCCGGCCTCGAGCAGGCTATTTACCTGAAGACGGGAGAGATGTTCATCCAGCACCTCCAGTCATCTCTGTTCCCGCATCTAGGTATCGACGGATCTGACTTTTTGAGGTCCATGTCGACGTCCACGGACAGAAAGGGATTCTCGAGTTACTTGCAGGGGCTTCTGAAGAGCCGTAGGTAGATGGGCGGAATGGTGTAGGGCATGACAAATGGCAGAAGGGTGTGTGAAGTCGGAGGGCTGGTATGTTGTGGAAAACGCGTTATAAAGCGTATGAATGGAAAGGGGAGGAGGGTTCATTGATGGGGGAAAAGGCAATTAGGAATCTCTCTCTCTTCCTCTCTTATCTTGGCCACTTTTCTTTGTTTAACATATCCACTGGCCGCATCGCCTTGGAGTTTTGAGGGAGGCATTAGAGATCAAACGACACAAATGACAAAAAGAAAGAATCATGTTTCTCACCTGAATGTGTGATTGCTACAGGTGTGGACGATGTCTCGTCCATGCTTGTGACCTAAGATGAGAAGACGACCAAGTATCCATAATGGTGAGATGCGAAAAAAAGAATTTTAAATAAAGCCAGTAAACATTCTCAACAATTGTATCGTTAGTAATATTACTGCTATTCCGAACAAGTCGAATTGCCGCAGCTTATTTTGGACCGTAAGACACAACGGTGTTTACTGGAGGACTTGTATAGGTTTCAAGTCCATCATTGGTTACGAAAACTCGCAGCTTTTTCTACATCTCGCCTTGAGAGCCGAAGGCTTTTTCTGCTTACTCTTACCTCGTGTATACCAAGGTAAATGGTCTACTGTACCAAGGATGTATTATATGGAGCCCGCGCAGCGGCGCTCAGAGGGCGCTGGGTTTCTGAGGGGCCTGCCCCTGGTATTAGCGGAGAGAGAATAGGTAGTTGGGCACGGGTCGTGTATCTGTATGGGCGGTTAGATAGTATACAAGAAAAGGCAAGGTACGTACGGGCTTTGATTTGCTTTTTTTTTTTTTTTTTTTTTTTTGCTAAGAGAATCCTTTTAGCGTTTAACGTGACTTGTTAAAGGACTCCTTAGCTGTTACTTTGTTCGCTCGCACGTCTTCGTGGGGGCACAATACGTGAACTAGCACAGGAGCGTCAAGTGACTCAAAGTGAACCAGCCAAGGGGCTCTCCTTCCAAGCAACCAAGAACGAGGCAAAAAAAGGCTCAAGCTACTTTTCCTTAGTACTCCTGGTTCAAGAGGAACCTTACTCAACCCAACCTATCTGAGAAAAACCATAACATACAAAACAAAAGGGTTTACTTGTACGAACAGTCTCTACTTGAATCAACCCACAAAAGAGAGTAAGTTCTTTTTCCAATCTCATGAGGACTCGAGAGAACTAGGGACCAACCAGTCCATGAGTACTTTCTTACGTTTCTTGGAACTCTGGATTCAAGACCGGAGGGATACTACCTACGTTCAAGGCTTTCTCCCTCCGACCCAGTCAGAGGCTCTATAAGTACGCAATGGGGCCTTAAAACTATAGATATCTGTCGCGCGAGGTGCTCTTTGAGAGCGTAGAAGGTACTAAAACGTGACTCCATATGACCCTCGACTAATAGCGTATGGATCTTGGGGGCATCTTTTGTCGTGGCGTTCACTGGCGTACGATTTCGTCTGTCTGTTACAAAGCTCATACTGCTCCTTTTTCCATTGCAAAAGATGTCTACTTGGAAGGAGTGCTTTGTTTCGATAATCTTTGGAGGGGGGAGAAGGTATCTGTTCCGAGTAAAACACGATAACCAACCTCATGGGTTCATCTAACATCAAGATCGATGGATATTGTTGATTTCCATCTTTCTATCAATGTCTGCTCCATTTGATGCGTGTGGGAAGCGTAGACATACACACACTTTATTCACCGCAGCTTTGCGAGTCTGAACTCGTAGTGGGGTTCGGCTTTGCTAGAAAGACAAACCTGGAGGAGAGTCTGCCAGTCGTTTGAAAAATAAAAGCTACTCGTCGAGCGACGATAATCCCTAACGTACGGGTGGTCTATGCAAGGTAGTTCGAACGGCCTGTTCCAAGGCTCAGCTTTTTCGAATAACAGTTTCTCCCCTCCCCTTTCTCCCCCCTCGTAGGGAACCTTTGCGCCATATCACTTTGGTCCGACCTCCCCCAAACTCCGGAGCTTGAAGTAAAACTGAGATCTTAACACTGCATTCAGAAACCCGTATTCCTTACTTCCAAGATGTGATGGGGGAAACTTTTATAAATACGTTGAGAACCAAGGAACATCTGTTGTGTCATACCAAAAAAATGAAATAAAAAAACCCCTCAAGTGGACGAAGTACGTAGACTCTCAACATCCTCCAGAAACAGACGCTTGCCTAAGGTATTGAGCAAAACCTCGGCATGCCTCTTCAGGAAAGCACACAAGCCAGGATGCCAGAATCTCCGTATTCTTCAGCCCCAAAACTCGGATTTATAAGCATCAGCAGATACAACTGTCGTGGAAAAGAAGTGAAAAAAGGGCCTAGCGAGCCCCTCATCTCAAGGCTAAGACGAACCGCGGTTAGCAGGGGGCGGTGGGAACAGGAGGGGTCCGCCGTCCCAACCCATAACCAACCCATCAGTCAATTCAACAGCAATGACTCCGTACCCCGCTATTCCCGTCAACTCACATTCGACTTCTTCACCAGACGCGCGCGGGTCAGTCAGTCTTCTCGGCCGTGATCTATAACTTAGAGGTGATAGAATAAGGCTTTCTTTGCAACCAGAGTTCAGCGGAGCGCCATCTGGTAGATCACATTGAGTGTTGGGAAGTGCGATCAACACCCAGAAGTCACCCGCCCTGCCAAAAGCGCCGCCCACCGGCCGAGGGGGGGAAAAAAAAGAACGCATCACTCCGTATAGCTTCGTCAAAACTTCGGCTGAAAGAAACCAGATGCTGCTGCTACTCAATCTCACCTCACGAGACGGGAGTTCCGTAGGTTTGCTCGATAACGTTATCCGCACCTTCAAAGAGCGGTGACATGTTCAAACGCCGCAAAAAGTGGCAAAAATCCGCGACTTACATCAACCCCCTGACCGGCCCGCACCGCCTTGTGGCAGATGTTGCTTTCTCGCTGCATCCCCACAAGGCCCGGCACCCAAACCGGGGTACAGGGGTGGTAAAAAACAGCATCAAAATCTCTTTGCCCTACTTCCAACTTCTAATGCCGAGGCAAACCTGCATATCTTCAGCAATGCGTTGCGTTTGCCGCAGTGGATTCATTTTTTCCAGGCCTTTGCTCCCCCGTCTCGGACGAAGCTGCGCGGTCTAGCACCTAGATAGGCACTTGGCCATTAACCTGATTCTAGACCCAGGCACAGGAATGGTATTCGGAATTCCCAGCGGAGAGAGCCAGGCCAAATCCACACGATGTGCGCAACCCTTTCCGCCATGGATTCTGAATGGGACGGACCACAGATATGAGATCCACACGTTTGCTGTCGAAGCCCCCCCCCCTCCTCCCCGAGTGTTTGGTCGTTCCATATGTAGAGCCTGGCTCGCAACTGAAGGATGGACTTCTACATCCCTCTACTATAATCCAATCGAGTCAGCTGTTGAATCGTCAAGCTTGAAACCGTCAAGAATCATATCTTCACCCGTAGATTACGAGTCTGCGGCAGACCAGACCAAAACCTCACAATGCCTCCCCGTTACCCCGGCCGAGAGGATGTCGACCCGACACCTCTGGCCCAGCCGCTGAGCTTCCCCTTCTCGACGACCGTCGCCCCCAACCGCCTCATGAAGGGCGCCATGTCGGAGCGCGTGGCAACCTGGGACGTCGCCGACGTCTCCAAGCGCGGTGCTCCCACCGAAGAGCTCCTGAATCTCTACCGCAACTGGGGCACCGGCCGCTGGGGCATCCTCCTCTCCGGCAACATCATGATCGACGCGGGCCACCTCGAGGCACCCGGGAACCCAGCCATCTCGCTCGACCACCAGCCCGTCGAGGGCGACGAGCGCTTCGAGATGTGGCGCCGCATAGCCGCGGCGACCAAGGCCGAAGGCTCTCTCTTCCTGGCACAAGTCGGCCACCCGGGACGCCAGGTCATCAGCGCCATCCAGCCGAACCCCGTCTCCGCCTCGGACGTGCAGCTGGTGACGGACTTTGGGGGCATGACCTTCGCCAAGCCGCGCGCGGCGACGGTGGAGGAAATTAAGAAGCTCACAGAAGGGTTCGTGCACTGCGCCGCATACCTCGAGAAGGCCGGCTTCGACGGCATGCAGCTCCACGGCGCGCATGGCTACCTGATGGCGCAGTTTCTCTCGCAGACGACCAACAAGCGGACGGACGAGTACGGCGGTTCGCTGCGGAACCGCGCGCGCTTCATCACTGAGGTTGCCGACGCCATCCGCGCGCGGACGGGTCCCGGGTTCGTCATGGGCATCAAGATTAACAGCGTCGAGTTCCAGGAGTCCGGGTTCACGACCGACGAAGCCGCGGAGCTATGCCAGCTCCTAGAACAGCACAAGTTCGACTTTGTCGAGCTCAGCGGTGGCACGTACGAGAAGTCGGGGTGGCACCACCAGAGGGACAGCACAAGGGCCCGCGAGGCCTTCTTCCTCGACTTCGCGGAGAAGATTGTGCCGCACGTGAGCAAGACCAGGACCTATGTTACGGGCGGCGTCCGCTCGGTCGGTGCCATGCTTGACATCTTGCAGGCTGGGCTCGATGGTGTGGGCATCGGACGGCCTGCTTGTGCGGAGCCAAGGTTGCCAAAGGATATATTCGAGAACGGCGTCAAGAGTTGCATCAAGCCCCTATTCGACGAGCAGGACTTTGGCCTGGGAGTTGCCATGGCGGGAACGCAGATGCTGCAGATGGGCCACAACGAGGAGCCCATGGACCCGTCAGATCAGAAGTCGACAGAGGGCTTGGTGAAGGACCTCACGGCTTGGAAAGCTCGGGTGGCTGAAAGTAAAGGGCAGCTATACGGCTTCGTCAGGCTGGAGTCGGTTCCCGCGTTCCCGTATGGGAATGTTGCCCCGGCAAGATTGTGATTGGAGTCTCGGTCGTCGTGGGTGTTCCGTCGTTGCCTATCCGTATACGAAAGGGATATTAGAGTACTACCGAGAAATGTCTTACTTTCTACTGAGACATGGTATGATTGCGTTTTGTAATATGCCTGGAAGACATGGCGTTGTGTGCAAGGTACCTATTTAGACAATGTCTGATCAGACGCGCGGATAGGCAAGAGCCAAGGGGTTCTATGAAACATTCGCTGTGGCAATTGCCTACGGGAAGCCTGCCACTCTGAATAACATCTTGTAACACAAATTGGGCCCTGAGTAGCGATTGTAGGTGCCATCGAGAGTCGTTTGACTAGGAAATATGCCGCGAACCCCTTGCGCATGGTTCATTTGAGCCCTCGCAAGTAAACCGTGGCAATACCTTACCTCAACTGTTCAAGAGTTTGGTTAGTGACAAGACAGAATACCATGTCAAACTGAGCACGCGGAGCACCGGCCGGGCATTCGACTTGCGTAAAACTGTCTGCAAACCTGAAGGCTCTCACGCCTTTTTGGTACCAATGTACAGCTTGTTGTATTTGCTCAAAGAGCTACACATGGACGGAAGATTCGTTCGAATAAGTATGGCAGGATGCTTGCCAACACAAAGTCATGTGGACAGAGGAGGGATGGAAATGTATACGACGGCATCAACGAGAATGGTTGCCGCTTGAATTATCTCCTTCAGTCATGTAAGCCCGGGCAGAACAGAGTAAATAACCCGCAGATTTGGAGTTCGTGAGCGCCCCTGAAGTTTGCATACACTACTTAGAGTGTATGCAGATTGAAACTCTGGGATCGGTTGGCAGTGGCACACACTCGGCCCGCGAGCAGCGTTCCTCACAATGACGGTGCTGAGAGCAATACTCCTTTTGGAATTTTGCGGGGTCAGAGGTGGGTTTCGAAAAATTGCCCGAGATTTGCTCTTCGTATGGCCGGATTGCTCCTCTCTTTTTTACCTTTGATCCACGAGGAAGCTCAAAGTCGCGTATTGGACGAGATTATAGTGTACAATCAGCCTGTGGAGCGAGAACAATTGGGTCTCGTTCCCACTTGCCTAGAAGAGAGATAGGCCTTCCACGGCTCGAAATAGCACATTGAATCCATCTCGATTCTGAGTTGTCGCACCGCTTCCGATGAAGAAGAGGATAGTGATAGGCAACCGGTATGAAGATCCGAGAAGATTGGCTGCATGATCTACGAATTGATGTGGCGCCGAGCGCCTGGTGAAGCGGAGCAGCATGGTTCATCCATCTCTACAGATCCATGGATGACCGGAAGTTTTGAAAAACGACCGGAAGATCAGCAGGAACAAGTTTCTGCTGCTTGTGTTCGTACGTGACGGAGTTCCACGAAGCCTTCAATCCGGGTTGAATTGACGCTTTTCACCGACAGTCTGGTAAGGGGACAATGCTCTTCATGCACCTAACATGATGAAGGACGCCTCTTCTTGCACGCCACTGCCCGTCCAGCCCATGGCGCTCGTCTGGAAATTGCGCTTTCTCTTGGAAAATGGTCGTCCTGCTGGCCAGATGATCGGTCAAGATGCGGGAAAACAAGGTATGGCCCAGTGGCGTGCGGCAGTGCGGCCACGGAGGTCGTGTGGCCAAATTGCAGTCGATCCGATGAGGCCGCTGGGGAGATGGAGGGAGGAATAGAGCAGCTAGAGCCGGGCCCAAGTCTGCAATGGCGTGGCCCCGGGGCGCTCGACCTTGGCCGTGGCCGCACTGAGTCGCGGCTGATTAAGGTTATCATTGCTCCTTGAGTCCTGTCGAACGGACCTGGTTTTTATTTCCAGTGACCCTCTGGCGGAAAGTAGCCGCGGACGTTGATATCATGCCCATAATCAAGCACTCTCGGCCGGCCATCGGTCAGTGCCCACTGCGCCGTTTACTTCATAGGTATTCGTACGGGTAGAGCAGGGCATGTGCGACGTCATAAGGGTTGAGGCAGCATGGGATGGCGGGTTGAGGGAGCATCAGACGATCTTGTGCATCCACAGTGGTGAAACGCGCGAAGGCCAGCTCGCTGGAGCCCTTGGCCTGCCTCGTGGGGCCTGTTAAGATACCGCTGATGATAACCAACAAGGATGTGTCGATTATGCAATTTGCAAAGGGTTGGACTTTCGAGACTCGAGCCAATCCTTCTGTGTAGCCATACCGGGGGTATCTGCTCATTGCATCGAAGAAGCCGTCACACAATGTCGCGTCTGGGCGTTGCGCAACTCTCATTGAGTAATTGAAGCACGAGCATTCAATCAATAGAGAGAAGCAGTAGCGCTGCGACTTGTCGATGAGGCGGCGTCCAGACACCACTGCCAAGACATCGTGGCATTCAAGCTGTCAGTCGGTGGTGGCTGGTCTAAGGAAGAGAAAACAAGTCGGGGCTAAGCCGGTTCGAGCGGCATCATGAAGTGCCGGGGCGGTCAAGAGAGAGGATTTGGAGATTAAGATTGGCTTTTTGAGCTTGAAAACACACGGGCAGTGGTCCGTGATTCTGACGTGTTGGCAATGCTGATCTGCTTCGTAGCGACGCTGGATGAAGCCGCGGAGGATTTTCGCTGACAGTGGACGGTCATCGAGGGACACAGGGATTGACAGGGGAAAAGAGGCTTGGAGATCCAGAAGGGGGCCGGTTCGACTGCGGCCAGGGTCTGTTCAACCAATGTCAATCCCTGTACGAAGTAGGCTTTACATATCGCCTGTCGATTCTCGAGTCGGTATCCGTATCTCGAGTCCTGTTGTGAGAGTCTGCTCTGGCTCTGGCGTCCCCGACTCCCGCGGCTCCGTACATCGTGTGAGTGTCATGGATAACGTGTCGTGGGCCATGGGCCGTGGTCGTGTTGGGTGACAGTTTTCTCCTCTTGAAAATACGGGGATGATTTGCCGTGTGGCCCACTGAATAGTGATGGATACCAAAAGAAAGTGGCTCCCTTTTTGAGTGACAGCCATCGGCAGGAAATTAGACCGCCATGGAGTTGGAGGGAAGTTGTTCGTGGAAAGGAAAATGATTGACGACTCAAGACTGAAAAGGGGAAGTTGTGAACATCATTTGCGCTTTCTGGCTTGTGCGGGAATAGCTACGTATCTTACGGATACGTACCACTCAGCGATGAACCTAGCACGTGCCAGGTATGTAGATACGTAGATACGTACAGAGTCGGGATGTTGAAATGTTTTGGGAAACAACTTTGAAAGAGAACCCACAGCTTCAACTTTCCGCAGCTTGTTCCTGCATTAGTTCGATGAACCAAATGTTTGTGCTCCTCCCTCGAGTTATGCCTGCTTTGTGCAACTAAGGTACTGAGATTACCCCGTACCCCTGGCCAACTGTCAGACTTTCTTTCCAAAATGTTCAGGGTCAATCAACAAAGGGTGAGGGGCAAAGCACAGGCACAGGGCACAAGGCACAACAAGGCTTTGCCAAGGGGAACCGCTACCCCTGTCTTCTGGCTCGAGGATGCCTCTCTACCCTCTTTTGGCGGAGAACCCTGTTCCTCGTCTTCTCTCTGTGTTGGCGTCTCGCTGTCTCTGTGGTTCTGTTCTAATATGTTCTGTTCAGGTTCTGTCATTGTCGACTCCCGCTAACGCTGCTGCACCTCTCATCGAGTCCTCCCTCCTTCCGTGAGATGATCGTCCTTCACTCCACGTTTCGGTGCATTCCCGCCGCCCATCATCTCTCTCAGCTGGGCGGCCTCGCTGCCTCAGCACTCAGCTCTTCCGCTCCTTTGTCCCGTCTATCCATTCGTAGCTCCGATTGTTCTCAAGACGACTAACGCCGCGGATTGTCTCTCCCTACGGAACATTCTCTCCCTATCTGCGGACATGAAGCCAGTCTTCTGGTCTCATCCACAGCAGCGCGGTCTCGCTCACTCGCTCCCGCATTCCTCAGGCAAACCTTTTCTCAACCACCTTCTCCGATATCTCGTCTCACTTTCATCCGTGCCGCCCTGGATGCATCTCGGAGACTGACGACCACTCTGTCCAGCCGACGAGACAGGGTAAGGGGAGGCGACTGAGCGAAATAACGACGGCCTGGATCTGCGAAACTACGGATACTCAGTCACTCAAGTACCGGGTACGGCAGCAATGACTTCGGCTCGCACAACTTCACACCTTTGCCAGCTGTACCGCGTACAAAGTCTCACCGAACCATCCACTTGCCCAATCAGACATTCTATCCCTGTTACCATGAATTGTGCCACTTTCTGGCTCGCCTTCAAACATTATTCCATGGTCCTTGATTGATTGACTCGTACTGGGCAACCTTGCCTCCCAGGATCCTTGGGATCAGAGGAGGCACAGAGCGTTGGCCAACTCTGAAGGAGGACCCGAGATTGGCGAACCCGACCAAGAACAGCCTCTTTCACTCATGTCACCGCTAATGTGCAAACGCTCATATCGCGAATAGCCATTGTCAGAGTTGTCCAGCTGGACGTTCAATAGACGCTCACCCTCTGTCACCTGGTATTAGTGTCAGCGGCTTTCCTCCAGCAAGTGTGTGGATATATGCCCCTCTCTCTCTCTCTCTCCTTTTCGTTGGCGCAAGTGGCCATCGTACAATAAGTCCAGAGCGAAATTGTTGTGCTTCATTGCTTAACACGAACGGGGAAATTGAAAGAGGCGCCAGAGATCCAATGAAGCTTAATGAAGCCCAGCGCACAATTCCAGCGGCTACCATTAAGCAATGGCGCCCTATCCGGTCGTGTTTTCGACCCTCAATAAGCGCTCGCAACTCATCTCTCTCCTTACCACAGACAAGAGCCATGCGAGAGACCACACCTACTGCAGTCCAGCAAATAAGGTGGCAACGGCGTTTTCCCTTCTGTTCTGCCACTAATGTAGCGCTATGCAGATGGGATCTAACCCCGGCCTAGAGTCCCAGCGGAAAGGCCGGGGTGAAAACAAGGGTTCGTTGGCCGGCCTGGTCTGTACGGGCCAATTCGCCCAAGTGCCTTTTTGGTGCCATCCAACCTCTCCACCAAACCCCTGGATTAGCGTTCATGGGGCTGGATGTTAGCAGGCGCTGTGTAATTTCCCACTCTGTGTGCCTCGTTCCATGTCGCTCACTCGCTCTTACTTGCTGCTGCTGATGGGCGTTGGCGGAGTGCCTGGCGGAGGAAACGGGAGGGGAGCTGACTGACTCTCTCACCTTGTTCTCACTCTCACTCTCACTCGCTCATTCACACCGGAGAGAGGGGCCGTTTGGGTGAAGGACTCGCACTTGTCCAACATGGCTATTAATATGCTGCCGTCCTCCCCGTTTACTGCAGACCTCTTCTTTTCTTCCCTCTTCAGCCAAACAAGCCTCATCAATCTCAAGCATCCGCTTTTGACTCAACTTTGACTTCGGTCGTCCATTCTTTACCAAAGCTCTCTGCTTCAAAACACTCGCTCTCTTAATCCAACAACCAACAACTTCGTTTTCACGAAACCCCCCCAATAACTCTATTCAAAATGCGTTACGCTGTTGCTGCCCTCGCCCTCGCCGGTGCCGTCATGGCCACCGAAGAGCCCGCCTCCACCGTCTTCTCCACCAAGTACTTCACCATCACCTCCTGCGCTCCCGAGGTCACCAACTGCCCTGCCCGCAGCACCGTTGTCTCCTCCAGCGTCGAGGCCTTGACCACCTCTACCATCTACACCACCAAGGTTAGCACCGTTACCTCCTGCGCCCCCGAGATCACCAACTGCCCGGCCCACTCGACCGTTGTTGTTACCAAGACCGAGGCCATCTCAACCACTGTTTGCCCTGTTACTGAGACCGGAGTCAAGCCCAGCGCCACCGCCCCCGTCGTCGTTGTTCCTCCCCCCTCCGGCGGCAACGGCACCGTCCCCGCCGTTCCCAGCAAGTCCGAGGCTGTTCCCCCCGCCAAGCCCACCACCGAGAGCGGTGCTAAGCCCGTCCCCGTCACCACCGGCGGCGTTGCTCCCTCCGTCTCTGTCCCCGCCACCCTGGCCACCAGTGCTGCTGCCACCTGCGGTGGTGTCTCCGTCAAGACCATCTCTACCAGCGTCACCACCGTCATCCCCACCGTCATCTACGAGACTGTCCAGGTCCCTTGCCCTACCCCCAGCAAGCCCTCTGCCACTATCCCTGGTGTCCCTACCGGTGGCAACGGAACGTGAGTATTATCCCAAAATCAAAACCTCAAACCAAAAGAATCAAGACACTAACTCTCCAATCAGTGCCCCTGCCCCCACCAAGACTCCCGTCACTGCCGGTGCCGCTAGCCTGACCGGCTCCGCCGTCCTAGCCGCCGTTGCCGGTGTTGCTGCCTTTGTCTTCGCATAAATTCCTTCTTCTGGACAACTCTTCTGAGGAAAAGCCAACCAAGGCTACGGCAGTTTACGATCAAATCTAACGGGTGTTCTTTTTGCTGGGGAGTCTTAAGAGGAAATGTAAAAAGAGCCCTTCTTTCTCTTTGTACATTGTATCTTAACGGAATGCAAAAAATACCATTTGTACCTAATCTTCTAATTGTATTTGGGGGACGTCTGGGACTGAGCAAAGTTGAGGGTTACCTTGCGATTGAGACATCGAGCGCGAGGGACTTTTACTCGGCTTATTCCCGACGACCTGGCTTTAACGACGAAGTGTTTGGGGAAAAGATATGTTACCAAAGTGACCATTTGCAATGTGACATCTGCTGCTCAGTGTGATATCGTGGAGGGGGGATGTTCCTCAAGTGAGGTGACATCCGCCCTACAGCCATCTTCCCCGGACTTTTCGAAACCCTCACAATGGGAAATTGGACGCAACTATCCGCATTGATCATCATCCTTCCTTCACTTCTCCACGGACGACTCCGACGGCACCGAAATCATCAGCTCAGAACTATCCGTACGTTCGCACACACCGAACTGACAAGAACCACATCAGCAGACAAAAATAAGCAAACCAATCGATCGAACCTTTGGACGACTTTTTCTTTCCGGCCAAGACTTGAACGGATGTCTATGCAAGGAACAAGGAGGATCGCCCTGTCAAATGATCCTAACCACGCACCCCCCTCCCTCCCCCTCCTCACTCTCAGTGTGTGCCTCTCACTCGCACAGGCACGCACAGGGGTGTGGGAAAGAGAGAAAACGGCCCTTACCCCACAGGATCAACTTTGAGGGACTTTCGGGAGATTACGATTTGGACGAACGGGTGTGCGCGATTGGTTGGACGGTACCCCGGTCGCAATTTGGACGAAACGCTCGGCTCCGCCCAATGGGATGAACGGCTTCCCCGACGACTTCTCTTGAATGCGACCTGTGTGCGTGTGTGTGTGTTCAGCACAATTTGTTCGGTTTCCTCTGCCTGTTATTATGCACATCATACGAATACAGCAGACATGCGGTCAAGGTTCACCGAGGGAACGGGAAGATGAGAGAGGAGGGGGGGGATATACATCCATGCGATGGGGTTTCGAAAAACAGTTCAGCCTGGCGCCGGAAAAGGAAGGCGATGGATGAATGGGTTTAGGAAGTTTTGAACCCATACCCATTGATCACTCCCAAGGATCGCGAGGCGCAGTTCCGCCTTTCATTTCGGAGGATATTTGGTATTCTTCTTTTTTTGGTCTTCAACAGCGTTGGAGACTTGGGGTTCCTCCCCCGTCCCCCGTTCATGCAAAGCTGCAAATCTCCCACTTCCGCTTCTGTCATGCTGCGGGTACGAAGTTTGCGTACTTTAGGGAAGTACGGATACCTCTGCTGATAACATTATTTTTGCAGTGGTCCCGGAGTCTGGGGAGATGAGGGTTTGGGTGAGCTGCGTGGGTCGCTCTCGGTCTCTTCCGAGGAGGGGGGGATTTCAGTCTTGTAGAACAACACGTTCGGCTGTTTGCTTTTGTTGGTGCTGCCGTGATGATGGTTGGTGGTGAGGCGGTGTTTGGTGTTTCTCATCATCGATGGTGCGTATCTGGTCTTTGCAGTCTCCTCGCTGCTTTTCTGATGGCAAATTGTCATCTCAAGTTGCCGAGCCGTGATGTGATGGGCAATTTTGGCTCAAGGGGGGTTTTCTTTCTTCTTGCTTGGGGCTCGGACTTTTGACGGTCATGATGACGCTTCCATCAAGGATCAAAACTCGCTTTTCATCTGTTTGAACAGCTACATCCAGTCACTTGGTCTCTGGCTTCCCCACGACTTCACTTGAGACGCAAAAGACAAAGATTATGGAGCAAGTGCGTTTCCATCATATTTCCGCGGTGACCTTCCTGCTCACTGTACCAAGCCACCCGGCTCTAGTCACTGAACAAGCCGCGGAAAGCGGTTTGCTGGTGGAAAGACGGCCAACGTCACCTTCGCACCTATATCGAAGGAACCAACGACGGCTTTTTGCTGTCACATTCAACGATGCAAAAATATTGATATGACCGCCTTTCTTGACAGTGACGGCCTGCCTTCCGCGTGCCCGCCGATATCTCACAGGAGCAAGGGGCGATTTGGCATCGCGGGTTTCGTCACCGAACTATCATTTCATTCCAGCTTGCAAGCCCGGTGCCAAAAGTCTCAATGTCGCAGCCTTGATCGAAGGAGTTAATTTGGTATACATCTCTGCGGGTAATCCGCCCGAGCAGAGAGAGCAAGCTAGCTTGTCAATTCCGTAAGCATGGGCTGAGAAACGAGCGGGCAAAAAGGCTCGCTGAGGCCAGGACACATTCATATCTGTTGCGGGACGATTATCTCATGGTACGGCACGCCTACGAAATCTTTCTCATGTCTTGAATTCCATTCGTATTGCTTCCCGGGAAAAGTACTCGTATACTTAGGCTCATCATCCACTAGCCCCTGCTTCGGGGTTTCTTGGGAGTCTGTATGGTTCTCTAGACGGACTGGTCATACCATATGTGTCGGTTTCATCGTCATGTTGTGGACCTGAAGCCTGCATGGCAACGATCCTATTGAGCTCTCGAATTCCATCTCTCAGAGATAGCTCGCTGAACCATCTGGAACAAGTCCCCGGTGAAGAAAAAGTGCAAGAAAGTCGCCTTTTCTTAGACCGTGTCATCCCAAGCCCTATACGGGATCAATTTGAGACTTCAATTGCCTTCACGCAATCCCAGCTGTTGGCTCAATTCGGCATGATTTCCTTCCAACGGCTTCTAGAGTTGCAAGGCAACTTTAAATTTTGTCTCTCTCTTAAATGCAGAGTGGCTTGCTCTCCTCCAGAATAAGTAGCTTCCACGAACGTAAACATGTTTGAAATAGAATACCGTTCCAACCCAACAGCGCTGCGGTTTGCGGGCAAACGACTCGAGACCCTTGTCTGCCAAGTCCATTCACAGTGCCAGACCTAAAGATAGCCTCAGCCTCAAGGCGTATTGACCATTTCACAGCATAGCTGCTGACTTATTCGCAGTAACACTAAAATCTGATTGTAAGGAACCAACGACACTCGTCCTTGCGAACAATTTGTTTCAAGTAAGGTACGTTCGAAGAGCAGCCTGTTGGTCTTTCCTCTCTTCCCCCTTCCATTAAATGAGTCGTATTCTTCGGCTACGTCCGATGCTGCGCCAAGGTGCTCGTCTTTTCGTATTGAGCACGGCTGAGGCTGAGAGCCATGTCGAGCTCTGCGTCCAAGTATCAAGTGGGAGTGAACGTCGCACAATCAAGGTTGGCTCGAGCTTTGGTTGACATCGCTCCCTTTCACATGAGGTACCTGAGCAAGACCACCCGCGCCGCCCCCTTGAGCCCTGTCCTTCCCTTCAACTTAGAAATACTGAAACGACTCAGGTGAATCTTTACTGTACTAATGAATAGCTTTCGTCTTACTTGATCATGGATTTACGATCTGTTTTGGGCAAGTGTCCAGTAAAACCGCCTCTGGCCAGAAGTCGTGTTGTTTGCTGCATCGGGAACCTTTGTTTCGGAGACGGCTCCACTTACGTTGGTCCGGGACGGCAATTCAAACGCGGGCCGAAAAGGTACTCGGCCCCAAAGCTTCGAGGGTCCACTCTCCGGCCGGCAATATACCCTATGGTCCCTATCAAACGACCTCAGCCCACGTCCTGCAGCTGGTTCATGGGGCTTCGTCATCATGGATAAGAATGTTCGAAAGAGCAAATTGCTCTGCAGTTGCAGGGCCTGTCGCTGCAATTCTTCAAGGGATCGGGTTCTTGCCTTGATGAAGCCGTTGGCAATTCACCGACGGATGAGGTCCCACCTCCATTTTCCTTATTGAAGTAGAGTTGGCTAGGGTGAGATTTCAAGGTAGATACTACGCTTTGTTGCTCCCATGGGGGGGTGTTCGACCGTTTCTGGAGCCTTGGCGTTCGGTGTCAAGTAGAGCATCGGAGCTTGTGTTGCCAACGGCGCAACCCAACGCCGATGCCGATTCCGATCCCCGGGGCTTAGGTCAACGAACGGTCGTGGACAGAAGGCTCAGCCGTCAAGGTAGGACATCAATCAACGAAATGACTTGAGAGATCATCTACCCTAGAAATTATTGGCAGCATCCAAAAGTCTGCCAAGAATCTTCAGTCTTGATATGTACATTCATCGTCGATGACACGTCGACTTTTCAGGCCTCTTCATCCAACGCATGCAAGCGCCCCAGCCCTACAGCCTCGAATCATTCGACATCCGTTATCAGCACCACCAACCGGGAAAGCCACGCGCATCATCCCATCGCTCTTCTCTCACCGAACACGTCGTCCCGACCCAATCGTCATCGAAAATACCTTACACTAGGTACATAAACCTGTCATCCCGTCTTACTGGAACGAACGTTAGCTACCCTTAGCCCGGGATGGTCTCCACTCTTTCCGCTCGCACTCGGCACGCACAGACCAAGCTTGTCCTGCCTCCGATCGCCGACTCTCACGGGTTCTCAACACCACTCAATTCTTTTCTTCTTCCACTGAGCTGAGAGATTGGAGCTCAAGGCCGGCCCCACTTCCGCACTCGCTTAAATCTAGTGTAGCCAAGCCAGGACAACCAAACAGCCAGAACCCGCGATGATCGAAGCCCAGGCATACCAGCCAACCAGCCAAGCCTTTCCCACCTCCGTCCGTCGTTACCCTCGTTGCTGGGCCGTGAGAGAAAGTGTCTTGCCTGGTGCGTGGTTCCAAGGGAAGTGAAGCCTGATAGGGAGGGTACACCAAGAAACGGGAACTGAATACTGCCTATGCCGTTTGCGCCAACCAACCAGGGGCTATAGAATCAGCCTCCTGTTTGATTTTCCGTCCCCATCGACCATCATCCTCCCTTGGCAGCCTAGTCAAGCCACCCGCCCGATGCGAGATGTCTCTGCCCTCCCGTCGATGCGGATGCGAGAGAATATCTCAGGCGCTGCCGTTCCCCTTCCCACGCGCCTGTCACCCGTAAGACTAGGCGTTCGTTCCCCACGTCTTACGCCTCTCTTTTCTTCCTTCTCCTCCAGTTAGTCTACACGAGCTTATTCCCGATCTCTGCAAGTGTAAGAGAATGCGAGAGAGAGCCCTTGTTCCTGGTATCCAGTCGCTAGTGATGACGACTTATCCCGTTCGTTCACAGTTTGGGCTCCCGCTCAGCCCAGTAGCCCGGTCTAACGAGTAGAGCGAAATGAGAAACCGGACTCCCTATCAAATGTCTCTCTCCCTGCAGAGAACCGTGTATATCATCTACCCTCTTCCCCGTGCTCGAAATGAAAGGTGAGATGTTTGCCTGTTGGTTCCCAAACTACCTTCGCCAGGCCCGAGCTTGAACAATCCGACTGTTTAAGACATCCTCTTAATTCTCTGGCACGTAAACACAACGAGAGAAGAAAAGGAGCTTGACAACCGCCTGATTCTCTACTCTCCTCGACTACTCACGCGAACCATCCTCTTCTGCTTCTACCTTACCCCCAAAAACGAATTCGGGTCACCGAAACGAAGAACATCACCATCAACAATGGCCGGCCCACCGCCCCCTCTCCCGCCCTACGTCGTAATCTTCGGCCCCAAATCAAACTGCACCCTCGACATCTGCCCCCTCGAGTACAGCCTGTACAAGTACCGCCCCAACCTCGCCGTCAACATCCTCTTCCTCGCCCTCTTCGCTCTCGCCGGCGCCGTCCACGTTGTCCTCGGCATCAAGTGGCGCCAGTGGTGGTTCATGGCCTTCATGCTCGCCGGCTGCCTCAGCGAGATTGTCGGCTACGTGGGCCGCATCGTCATGTACAAGAACCCTTTCGAGTTCATCGCTTTTATGCTCCAGATCGTCTTCATCACCAGCGGGCCCGTCTACTACACCGCCGCCATCTATGTTACCATTTCAAAGGCGTAAGTCATGGTTGTCTCTCTGTTTTTGTTCCCTGTTTCTTGAACTCCTTTTCTGGTTTCGCGCTCGTTGCTTTTTTTTTACTTCACATGGTCTCTTTTCTTTTTCACTTTCCACCCCGTGAGGGCTTATTGACAGCTGTCTCATCGTCGTAAACCCCTTACCTCCTTGCACAGCACGTCATCATCTAAGATCATGCGCATCTGAGTCCCCTCTCCCGGCCAAAAAGCAAAACACAGTGGAGAGAGCGGCCCGATATAGCATCACATCCATTTACCCTGAAACATCAACCAAACTGACTCAGATAACATAGCATCGAATCCTTCGCCCCAGAGCTCTCCCGCATCCCCACAAAGTACATCTACTGGCTCTTCATCTCCTTTGACGTCTTCTGCCTCACCCTCCAAGCCGCTGGCGGCGCCCTAAGCACCACCTCCAGCGGCAGCTCCGACGTGGGCGTCGACCTCGCCATGGCCGGGCTCGTCATCCAGGTCATCGTCCTCGTTGCGTTCTGCGCGCTCTTTGCCGACTACATGATCCGCTACACGCGGTCCGAAGTCGCGCGGGCGCTGACGCGGAGGGAGAAGACGTTTTTTGGGTTCCTTGCGCTGGCGATCGTGCTTATCCTCGCGCGGTGCGCGTACCGTGTCGATGAGCTGAGTGAAGGGTACTCGAACTCGGATAAGATTACGAATGAGGGGTTATTTATTGGGTTGGAGGGAGTGTGAGTTCTTTTCCCCTATCGAAGCTGACGTCTGGTGTCTTCTTTACTGACATGTCCCTACTCAGACTTATCATCTGTGCCGTCTTTGCGCTGTGCCTTGGACACCCCGGACTTTTATTCGGCAAGCCCAAGGTTTCGAATGATGTGAGAAAGGAGTCGAATGTAGAGAGCGGACCCGAAAGTGCCGCGGCGGAAGTGGAGCAAAAGTGATTGAGATACCATTTTGCAGAGCGGGACTCGTGTTGTCAGTGTACTTTCTCTTTGCGCCATTCTTTCTCATTTGTGTACACGTTTTTGAGCGGACATTGAAGCGTAGCTCTGTTGCTCTCATCTTGATTAGGTCCCGGTTTCCTTGAGCATTTAGAAGCGATATTAGTATGACATGTGACCATAGACACGGCGATTAACGACATTGAAGAACATTAAAACACCTCAACCAAACTTGGCTAATGATGTGGCTGGCCTTAGTTCTAAATTGAAAATGACATGAGCCCAGAAATGCACCCACCAGCACACTTCAGTGCCTTCACATTAATGCCGTGAGACAATGCAATGTCAACGGCATAATGATATCTCATCAACGGCCCTAAGTGTCTTTGTGAAGTTTCGAAGTGCCATACCAACAGCCTGGCTGAAGGTGACGTCGTGCTAGGTTGTTCGCGTTGTCGGGCCGGCTCGCCTCTGCTACTTAAGAGCTGCTGGTTCAAGTCAACCATCGATGTGGTATCATGGATGCCAGAGCCTTAGGCACCAAGTAGGCTTAGCCGAGTGATTTTGATGGTAATCTCTGGTGTCAAGAGCCGGCGTCATTATTTACTCTACAGGTGATGGCATTTTGTTTCCCATCGGTAATGCTCAGGCAGGATAAAAGCCCCTCCCCGTACAATACCGTCATGACTGACTTATTCACACAAGCATAAGACGTAAAAGAAAATTCCTAGAGAATGTGGATACCTTATTAAATGAAATGACCTGTTTTGAATATAAAAGTACTGAGACTTTGCGACGCCAGTAGTTCTACCGCCATCTGGATATCAACTAGATGCATTTGCTAGCCGGAGAGACGTCTCTCGCCACTGAGCGATGGATAGAACCGAAGGCGGAATCGCTTTCCGAGATTCGCTCTTCTAGCAAGTTCACAGGTGTCGGATGTCACCGATGAAAACGCCGCTCCGGGAAAACAGGCCTGATGCGGCTTGATAAGGGCTCTTATTTCTTTTTCTCTTCGTTCTCCTCAAGCTATCCAATTGGTCCGAGGTTTTGCGAAGCTCTTGAAGCTCCATGGAAGCTTCAAGAAGTTCTGAAGATCGAATTCGCGTTAGTATAGGATAATTCGGCTCGCAGAGCTCTACTAAGACATGTTGTCGAGAGTGCTACTTTCCATTAAAAGGAAGAGATTCATCCGAACACATCCTCCGTCAGTTTTCTTAGCGTATTCGTTGCATATGCATATGCCAGAAAGTGACTGGAAGCTAGATGAGTATGATTGTTAGCTAGACACTAGAAGGTAAGTAGAGGTTCTTTAGCTGTACCTTGTAATCAATTACTAGCTCTCCCAAGAGTTCGGCATAGTCTCGGATTCTGAGAAGGATAAACAGGATATCGTGGCTTCGAGTTCTCTATATTGACTCTAGCTGTGTATTAATAGGATTGAAGAGAAAATCTTCTGTCTATCTTATCCTTCTCATCTATCCTTGGTTGCCTCAAGCTATACGGAAGCTACGAGATCACGACCAATTCTAGACGTACGCCTCGCACAACACCTTTTACACATATGGAGACGGACAATAAAAAATGACCAGCAATCTATAGTGTTTCTTGGCAGAGAAAGAATGGAAGGATGGGAAAGGTGAGGGGGAGGCCTTTCTCCAAGGCTATAGAATATAGACCGCCCGCCATCCGTTCCAAAAACCGACCCGGTACTATAAACATGTTCCTCTCCGCTGTCCAAAACCCTTCTTCGTTAATCGTTCGTCTCGAGCACTCTCAAAGCGGACCGAGGAAGATTATGGAAACGGACTCTGGGTTTCTACACCTCGTTTGTCAGCATCTTTCCTAAAGCGAAATGTGCAACGGATCATTTGCAGGCGGGAGGGCAGACATCTTCACCAAAACGCCAAAAAGAGATTAGGTACTCTGAGAATGTCTAGTAGTTGTAAAAAATGCCTTAGACCTACTCGAAACCTCATTCTATATATATAATCTCTCATACCTTTGGCAGAGTTTCCGATGAAAAGCACCTCTATCTATGGGACAGCCCCTAATCTCTCTCTCTCTCCCTCTCTACCTCTCTCTCCCTCTCTCTCTCTCTCTCTCTCTCTCTTGGGGAGAACACAACGTCTCTACCACCGTGAGGCGCAACGGCTCTGCATGCCTCGACCTATCAATAAACGGCCCATCAACTATCGTCCGAATACCTGCGGCTCTTACTGAACATCGATAATGGTCAGTTCCAACCATGCCTTGGCCATACAGTCTTGCTTATCCCTCTAGACACCTTGACATGACCCCTACTTGTGACATTGTCGGGGTTGTTTTCTATAATGCTTACCCCATCAGTCTTGATACCGATCAATTTACGATGAGTCTTCTCCAAACAGGGGAGTGAAGAGGGCGATTGTGGTCATGATGCCATGGGAATATTCACCCTCGGGTATAGAGCCATGAGACCCTTAGAGTTCTCTGTCTCGTCACCCCAATCTTCGTAACTGATATCTTCCCATTTTCAACCGTCCCTTATAAAAGCGTTATAGGCGGGAGGGCAGCGAACATGAGATGGTCATGATAGACGCACCCGAACTTCGGTTCCATCTCTTGGACACCGGGGACCTGGCACGCTAGGTTCTTGCAAAAAAGTCGGAAGCGCGGTATTTTGAGAAACCAGTTATACAAAGAAAAGAAAAAAAAAAAAGGATCAACCCCTTTCCCATCTAGCCTCCATTGCATTGGTATTCATACTGGAATACATACTAGGAAAAGCTTGTGAAAAGACGGTATCTAGATAGAGGAGGACCCTGGCTCCTAAACCCACAACGGGCCTCGATAGCGTCGAACTTGCAACCATGACCATTTCCGGCCGGTCGGTGACCTCACCAAAGTGAAACATACATGGGAACATCGTGGCGTGGATAAATCTTGAATTCAGTGCGTCGAAAAAACCCGACTTATACCTCGATCAAAATACCTGCTTGGACCCTCGGCGCAAGGAAGATTGTTACTACGCAGCAGCCAGCTTTCAGCTCCGCCGGATGGTGTGGACTACCGCCGCGGTCCACGTCAATGTTGTCTGGTTTTGTCAATGGTTGCTATTTCATGTGACAAGACGTTGCTTCGTTCTCCCCAACGGCCTACTAATAAAAGCACATATAAGCACATATACCTCTAGCTCAAAAGAACAGCAAACTTGCGGAACACGATCTGCCTTGCCCTACTAGCATGCCTTATAGCAAAGCCCTCGCTTGCCAAAAGGGTACCGGCGGCCAAGAAGTCTGCATTGATATACTTACTGCCAGACGTACCCATTCCTAAAGACCAAGTTTCCCAGCTACCTTACCCACACTAAGTAGGCACCCAGACTCCTCATGCAAATGACCCAAAAGTTTCATAGGTACCACAGACTCAAGGCCAATCCACTCACAAATAGACCATGACGAAACCCAGTCAAAGTACTTGAAACTAGTACTACCCCATCCATTTCGGCCTACCTATTCTGCCTGTACCAGCCCTCGACCGGACCGCGACATCAATCACGCCGAGGCCAAATGCGCTGATCCCCGAGAGAAAAAGACTTGGCCCACCAACACCGTGTCCGTTCGGGTCACGGCCCCACTTGGTTTTCGGATAACCCCGCTCCCACAGACCCCGCCGCTCCCCCTCACTTCCGTCACCCGCACCGTTTCCGCCCCGTCACTAGCCCAACCTCCTAACCCCGACAGACTCCAAACCACCGTTAGCCATATGTCACAAGTAAGATCCAACATCATTGAATCTCATCACGCCCAACTCCATACATTGCCTCAAGCAGAGACTTACAATCAGGCACATCCTCGGGTCCCGGAATCAACGACGCAACTTTTCGTTCATTTAAGTAGGTAGACAAAAAAAAAAAAAAAAAAGTTTTGGCTTCGCCGGCATTTCAGCTCTAGCTCTAGCTCTAGCTTCCAAAAACAAAAACTAAAGCGCCCATAACGCCGTTTTCCTCATGGCTGTAGATCTGCCATCTTCCAACGTGAAGCAAAGAGCTGATAGCCCATGTGATATGCGTCTCAGGTCAAGGCAAAAAGTAACCATCCCTTCCATCATGAGATGCGTACAAGTTACCCAGCGATTACTCTCAGACAATAATCAAAACTCTCCCCCGTACCAAGGGGGAACTGATCTCGCCATGGGATATATATTCCAATCCCACTCCAGGCAAGATATCAAGTCCACCCATCCCCATCCCATCTCCTTTTCTGACCATGATAACGGCGCAGTAATATCATCAACCCGTATGCTGCGACGAAACATCATGCAAAAAAAAAAAAAAAAAAGTTCCGCTGCAAGACGCGGTCTCGACGATAAGTCGAACCGAACGATGCAATGCAAGTCCCCCAAAACACAACGCCTTTTCCCACTCCCAAACCCTGACATATATATATATCGCCGACGGCGACCGTCATGACGAAGTAGAAACGGAAGACGACGGACCCCTCGCCAGACTAAGCAGACTGCTCACAATACCACCCGAAACAGCACTCGTCGGCTCCTCATCGTCGTTGGTACCCCGGCCAGCTTTGAGGTCATCCATCTCCAGACGCGGCAGCGCGCCGACCACACTCCTAGATTCCTTCTCTTCCTGTCCCTGCTGCGTCGGCGTCGCCGATTCGGCCTCGTCAGTCTCCTGCTCTTGTTCAGGCTCGGTCTCCTCGATGACCTCCTCGGCCTCGTTCTCGGGAGGACCATCGCGGCTGGACGGCGGCTGCACCATGACCCTCGGCAGGGCCCTCTCCGTCGTCTGCGTCTGCGTCTGCGTCTTCGTCTCTTGCTGTTGTTGCTGCTGTCCTGGTCGCGGCTTCACCTGCAGCTTGTCAAGAGGCACGTTCTCCTGCCCCGTCTGGAGCTTGTAATTCGCAAGTCCGAGTTTCAATCGAAGGATCCGAGCTTTCTGCGTAAACGAAACACTAAGGTCAGCAATCATGTCTTCGAAACACCGACCCAAGGCACTATTCAAGTACCACAATGGGGGAGATCAGTCGTACCTGTCGCGCCTCCTCGCGGGTCAACAACCTCCTCGGCCCCGGCGGCGGCAGGGTCCTAGCCTGCTCTGCATCGGGCTCGGTGAGGATGGTGGTGTTTTGAGACGTGTCCATGGCGGAGGTGTCGAACACGGCCGACGTGTCGGGGGACGCGGAGCGGGTTCGCGGTGTCTCGTGCCGCGACTCTCTCTGCTGTTCTGGCAGCTCGTCCTCGCCCTGCACATCTGGTTCTGGTTGTTGTTCGCTGTGCTGTTTCTGCTCTTGTAATTGTTCGTTCTGGCTCTGTCGGTAGTACGCGTATTAGTACACCAATTCTAACGTGTACCTGTCAATTGACTATTTATTGGAGATATCTTCTCACCTCCATGGCGTCGGGCTCAACGTCCATTTCCATCTCCGTCTGTGTGGTCGCCGGCGCGGGAGTCGGTGCGGCCGCGGATGCAGAGGCAATAGGAAGTGATGAAGTAGCTTCAGGTGCCAATGCAAGTTCTCGTGCTGATGCAGGTGCAATTACGGGTGCAGCAGATACAAGGGTTGCGGCGGCGGCGGTGGTAGCATCAGCATCAGTAGCAGCAGCAGGAGCGGCAGCAGCAGCAGAGGCGGGATCCTGGCAATGCTTCTTCTTGGGAACGAGGGCGTTCTCGTCAAAGATGTCGACGGCGGCGATGGACCTCTTGAGATTGAGAGCCTTGATGGGACTCTGGCTCTTACGCGGCGATTGAGGACCGGCGCTCAGCTTGGAGTGTTTGTGCAGCTTCGTGGGCGACGATATCGCGTTCACGTTCGCGTCCAGGGGCGCGAGGGCGCGTCTCTTTGCTGGTGATGAGGGGTCCATGATCTCTGTGTAGCGTGTGTTTGTGTTGATGGGTAAAGGCCGTGTAGGAGTGTCTATGTTTCCTTTTTTTGTTCAATCTTCCTGCACCACCGTTGAGAGATTGGAAATGGTTTTCGAGGGGAAGGTTTTGGGGGAAGAAAGGGAGGGAGAGGGAGGTATTGGGGGTCTGGATCCTCGTAGTGGTTGGATGGAGGTGGGTAGGTGATTAGCGGGATTGGGAGCGTGTTGGTGTGGAGGAGGGGATGAGGAGGGTTGGAAAGAAGGCAGATCAGGTGCGTGTAAAGTACCTTTGCTACAAGCCCAAGGTAATACCTAGTAAAGGTGCACGGAGAGGGGGAAATGGGAAAGAGGAAGAGGTAGAGAGGCGGAGGAGAGAGAGAGAGAGAAAGAGAGAGAGAGGAAAAGGGAAGAGGCGGCAAAGTTGCTATTCCCACTCAAATCGCCAATTTACAAAAAAGCTCTCAAGCGAACTTCTCAGAGCGTGTTTCGTGGCGTGCCGTGGATGGAGCTGGGCGCCGCTGCTGGGGGATGGGGAGGGAGGCGCCCAAGAGCCCGTACAGATACACGGTACGGCTACCTAAGGTAAGCCGAAGCCTAAACCTAACCCGAACGAATGAAGAACGGCTTCCGCCCGCGTGCAGCTGTAGCAACACAAAAATGCGGTAGCTCACCCACTGAACGGGGAGGAACTGAGCCTCTGACGGGACGGTAGGTGTACTTCCTTCCTCTGCTGCCCGTGCGCTTTATTTTCTAAACAAAACAATCAACAGCAACAACACTGTTTGTTGACGTTTGACATTTAAACGTCTGATGTTTCCAATGTTCGACGTTGCAACAAACCTTGAGAACTTGAGGGAGAAAGGATGGATATCTCACAACCAAGGAGGGAGGAAATGGCGGGGGGGAAGCAAGCTATGGACGATCCAAATGTGTTGGTGATTCTATGGAATATGATAATGATCCAGGTCACACAGACACAGACGCGTAAAGGGTGGTGGTGCACCTCTTGACCGTTTGTCTGAGACCAGGAGGGAAATATGTAAAAGAGTAGGGTAGCGTCCCAGGCACGCAGCACACAGAGGATGGTGACCGCGTAGCCCGCGTTAGTAGCGCACTTTCCGGCTTCTTCACTGCATGAACCTCACTGTAAAACAAAGTAACCTAACCGGCAAAAAAGAAAGAAACCTGCATGAGAAAGAGTAAAGGAACCGCCCCAAATCGCGGCCCGCTTCATCGCCCCCCTGTTTGGTGGCTGGCACCTTGGTCGCGTACCCCTGCTGCGTCAAAATCCAAACCCGCTGGGGCACGTCACTGCTTTCGTCGGCGCCAGCATCCGGGTGTGGACCGCTGAGAGTTCCAGGCGACCTTTACAGTGTACTGTAGCGCTATTCACAGGGGACGGGACCTGTGACTGCCCTGCAATATTCCAGAGCGCGGCTTACATAAGGACACTTCACCTCAGTAACACCTGCAGAAAGGTCCCCAGAGGCGCGTGTCTCTTTTCCAATGGAAGGTTGCAACTTGCAAGGGTTCGCTAGCCACCGTCGATCGCATCTGGCCTAGCGCTAACGAAACATGAAATGCAGGTACCGGGGGCACGCCCGTTCAGGGTCCACGCTGTTGGGATTGACGTGACAGACAGACACCCGACCTTTCCCCCCCGACCATCCCAGACCGTTCCAAAGAACCAACCCTTCCTGTCACTGTTAATTGGGTGTCATATCAACACCACGCGTCGTTGGCCTCGATGCTACCACTGGCATGGGCCTGTCCTCCCTCCTCCCTTCTTGTCATCCTCCACCTTCTTCAACTCGACGAGCCTCTGTGCATCGTCTCATTTAAGCCGAAACTCTCGAGCATATGATAACATCTCACAATCACATCTTCAGCACACGCTTGTTTGTAAACTCGGGTATCATTCCTCTCGCCCTTGCGAGAGTTGCGCTGACGCTTTCGTCCTCGCCAAGGAAACTAACTAAAACAATTCGGCCTCCCCTCCCTCCATACATACAACGCGTAGAAGTAGTTGTCTCTCCAGATGAAATGATCCTCAAAAGACGGCAAATAAAAGAAAAGTAAAAAGTAATCGTCGTCGTCGCATCCTCAAATCACCCAAACCACACACTGAGCCAAACGTCGTTCATGTCACGACTGCTCAGGTAGTCTCTCCATATATCAAAAAAAAAAAAAAAACCACAAACGCTCACGAAAGAGACCTGCCCAGAGACTGCACACTGAGCCAGTCTACAACCCTGCCAGAGGAACGCCAAACCCTTTGCTTTTCCCAATGCTAACCTTGCCCACCCATCCAATGAACCGGCTGGTCGTCATTCGTGGAATTCTCTCCCGGGGGTATCCAGCATCCGCTTTCCATAGTCTTCGGTCAACTTTTGTTCATCTGCTTCCTCTCTGTCACTTCACCCCTTCATCTCTGTTCCTCACATCGACGACGAGACATCGAGTGAGTACAGGCTGTTATCGAACTGGAACGGCTTGTTGAAGTCGTTTGTCACTTCATCCCAGTTAGGGAACTGCTCCATCGGCATCGCCTCCTCTAGCATCAGCCCCTCAAACTCGGCTCCACCGTCCAGTCCATCCATGTTGATGTTGTTCATATCGAGAAGCACGTCCATGTCGACTGGTTGCCAGTTAAGGTCAATGTCCAAGTGGACACCCTCGGAAATATCGCTGTTGGGTTCCGATGATCCGCTGTCCTTGCTCGACTCTGGTGTATCGTTTGGTGTCTGTGACCGGTACACGGCCATGTCGCTGATGACGCCGTTGGCACCGAGCTCGAACTTGCCGAGGTTGTTGAACAGGCTCTGTGGGTTGATCGTCGTTGCCCACGCATCCATTGGCGGAGCCGGTGCGACCGCCATCTCGGGCTGCTTGTGCTCCATCTTGGGGGTGTTGTCCGTCTTGCCAACCGCGAGCTTGTTGTCCTGTGCTTTCCCTCCCATCTTGCTGCCTGTGCGCTGCATCGACGCGTCTCGAGACATTGGTGTCGCACCCGGATTGCTGGCTGGCGTCTGGCCTTGTTTGGATGCGTTTTGGCCCATTGGCTGCGCAGTGACTGGCACCTGACCGTTGACATCTAATCCCAAAGACAGAGCCAAGTTCTCTTGCATGAACTTCATAGGGTCCTCCAGAGGCTTGACGTGCTCCTCCTGGATATGCGTCTGTCGCGCCTGCTCTGAGGGGAAGCCCGTTGTCGCCATCTCGCAGTCTGCCTCGGGACACAAGAACATAGGCTTTGGCGGCGCCTTAGGTTCGGGCATAGCTTGCCTTTTGAGTTCCGGGGAACCAGACTTGCTGATCTGGGGCGACGGGGTTGTCTGGCTCGGCTGCTGGGGCGGCGTCGGTTGAGCCCCAGTCTTGGCCTTCTTTCGCGGGTTGGGCAGTTTCAGGTTGTCCCTGTTCACCTTTGGCCTGTCCATGTAAGTGGGATCGCCATGCGGAGAGGTTGCGTTGAACGGGAACGGAGGCTGGCTTGTCGTTGGTGCAGCTGGGGGGGCACCGCTCTTGCTGTTGGACCGCTGGTGCATATTGTTCAAAGCCTTGGTCTGCTTCTCCAAGTTGGCGGCACTCAACGGCGTCACCTGTCCGCTTTGAGCAGGAGTAGCACCGGCCTGGTTCGGCGCTGCGGGTTGGCCTTGCTGTGGTGGCACGGCACCGGCTTTCTTGCCGAGGCTAGCACAGTCGCGCGCCATGCTCTCGAGGAGTCTACGGACCTCGTCAATCTCGGCGGGCCTGACACTGAAGACTGGCTTGGGATTGTTCATGTGTTCGCCGTCAGTGAATTGTCTGATCATGCGGAGTCGCTGGGTCATGTTAGCAAAATGAAAAGGCCAGTACGAAGCTTTAATGTTCACTTACAGCTCGGAAGTAGCTCTTGGCGCGCGCATCATCACGAGTCGCGGCATACCAGCGGCCCAGGGCCTTTCCAATCTTGCCCATGTCGACCACAATCTTCATGAGCTTGGTGCAAGTCTCTGTACGCTGGTCTGGTGACATGGGAATATCCGGCATATGTTCAGTCATCATCACTTTCTGCTCTTCTTGACCGATGCGCCTGAGCTTGTCAAAATCGTTCTCCGTAGGTGCAATACCCGAGTTTGCAGCTTGCATGGCCTGCTGGCGACTCTTCATTGCCTCATACTTGGCCCTTTGCTCGGGATTCATGGCCGCTATTTGCTCCGGGGTGAAGTTCGGGAACGGGCGCATCTGACCCGGTACAGCAGTAGGCCTCTGAGGTTGCTGAGATGCCTGAGGGACGTCGGCAGGCTCGTCGGTACTAGGTCGCTTGAGGTTCTTCTGCTGCGTCGCAGGCGAGGGATTCGGAGGCTGTGCTTGGTTGCTCGAGGCCGGCCGATTGTTATTCCTTGGTGCCGCGGCGTTGGCGACAGCCTTCTGATCAGGAGTAGCGCTCTGCTGCTTCGGCGGTGCTGGTGGTGCTTGGGCAGGTGTCGGGGTGATGCTTGCTGGAAGACCGGGCTGTGGCATTTGGGGTTGTTGAGGTGCTGCCACCGGGACGTTCTGTCCTCCCGGCGCCGGTAGCCCCTGTGACTGAGCCTGGCGCATGGCCATCTCTTTTTGCATTGCGGCAGCCATCTGCCGTTGTTTGATCTGGATGATGAACTGTCGCAGTTGATCGTCGGTAAGGCTAGCAATCTTAGGGTTCGCCTTGCGAGCGTTCATGATATCAGTTGGCGTCACCTGGATCATGTGAGCTGGAATACTCGGCATGCCAGGCGGCATGCCCGGTTGGTTGGGTGCCTGCGGATTCTGTATGCCGTTGCCAGGCTGCATCCCATTCGGCTGCGGCTGGGCTTGCCCTTGAGGTTGAGCTTGTTGAGGTTGCTGCGCAAGTTGCTGTGGTTGAGCCTGTGGCGGAACCTGCTGTGGCGGCTGGGGTTGATGCTGTTGTGGTTGCGGCGTTGGCTGTTGTCCTTGCTGCGCTGCCTGTGCTGCCTGCTGTTGGTTGCGTTTCTCCATCTGCCTCTGCATGTAGGTCGCGAACTGCGATCTCTGGATTCTCTCGAGGTGCTGTTGCAACTGTGGCTGTACGGGGTTTTGTGCCAGCCATTGGCGGAGATCCTTCCACTTGCGTACCTCGGGAGGAGCACGAAGCTGATTTCCTACTTGGTGGAGGACTGGTGGCGGCAGCTCCATGCTATCCATCATGACCTGGTGTGCCGGTGCTACAGGTGTTTGCTGGTTTCTCAATCGGTTCAGCATCTGCTGTTGCTGTGCGATGAGTTGCTGCTGGTTGTTAGGAGCAGGGGCACCTGGTTGCGCTTGCTGAGGCATCATGCCGTTGGGCATGAACTGATTGCCATTGGCAACGTTGAATTGCCCAGGTTGTCCTGGTCGACCTTGCATCTGGCCTGGGTTACCCATGGCGT